AAAAAGGTGTAGTTTATTTTTTACTAGCTGTACCCTACGTGCGTTGCTACGCCTCCCCGAAAACGATTGTTTTAAACTAACCTAAACTAACTGAAGCTAACCCAAACTATCCCAAGCTCTACGCTCCAGATCTATCCCACAGGAATTTTTCTTTTCCTGGATAAAAAATAAGTAGCTCATAACCCTCCATTTACATAAAGTAGAGGGTATCCCAGGGAAAACAGTCCACCCCGATTTATTGGATTTGGGATGAGAATCTGGGAAAATGCTCGGGCACGTCAATGTTTGATTTGACGGGGAACTATTTTTAAGTTTTTTTCATCCCCGTAGCTTCAACCCCCTAGCTAGGGAGAGAACAACCCTCCAAATTTGAATAAGGAATAGGGGTCGTGTCATGCCTCTTTTTAAAGGTCTCATCGAGTTCTTTATGGCCCTAGAATTTCGTAACGAAATGACAGCTTGTCAAAATCTTGGAAATAGACCATTGTTTTAGTAGGAGTAAAAGCGGTACTTACCTCCCTTGATAAAAATACTTACAGTTCACAATTTCCGTGTACACCTAATTGATAATAGTAATAAAAAACTTCATTTTCAAGTATTTTTATTAAGGGAGGTAAGTATCGCTTTTTTCTCCCACTAAAACAATAGTCTATTTTCAAGATTTTGACACGCTGTCATTTCGTTACGGATGAAAGTAATAAGATGAAATTCTAGGTCCATAAAGAACTCGATGAGACCTTTAAAAAGAGGTATGACACGACCCATGAATAAGGAATAGTCCTTATTCAAATTTGGAGGGTTGTTCTCCCCCGTTGAAGCTACGGGGATGAAAAAAACTTAAAAATAGTTCCCCCTCAAATCAAACATTGACGTGTCCGAGAATCTGGGAAAATGATTCTCATCCCAAATCCAATAAATCGGGGTGGACTGTTTTCCCTGGGACACCTTTATAGAGACTAAGTGGTATAAATTTCAAGGAGATCGGTTCAGGCCATAAAAAACGAACAAACAAACATTGATTTTTATATATTAGATTGTAAAATAGCTGCAAATTATATTTTTCGTTCAGTAAATCTTGTTTTTAAAAACTATTTACTCTGTTAAAAACTAAGAAGTTACAACAAAAAATACTAGACTCTAATTGCTGCGGCAAAAGCCGAGAATAAAAGAATCTTTGATTATAAATTGCTATGGTCTAAGTTAGAATACAAATGAATAATGAGAGAAGGCTCTGCGCGCCGTATTTATAATAAAATACTGCTGACGCTAGCATTCACGTGGGCGAAACCTTGATACTTTTTCAGGTAGTACCGCTTACTCGGCATCTTTATAATATCGTTGGCTTTTACAGTGGCGCATGCTTATATTTAATATTGGAAAGGAGAATTATCAGTATAATAATAACATAGGGTTTTATAATATAACTTGTACATACAATGATTTTCGCGAAATGGTTATAAAAATAATAACGCAAGCATTCGCCAGTCTATCAAGAATCCCTGCATTTGCGTGTTGCACGCATCCTCGTAAGGATGCGTAACCTATATCCAGAAACCTTCCTAGGCATTGTTGCCATGCCTACCAAAGTTTCATCGTAATCGGATAAGTGTTGTAGGAGCATATAAGGGACAAACAAACACACATTGATTTTTATATGTATAGATTTCAATTCCCTTAAAGTGTCAGAAATACTATCTTTTCTTTAGTTTAATTTGTTTTTAGTCTATAAATTAAATAAGAAGGTAATTTTAGTAGTGTCGGGTCCAAGTACCATTTAAGATTATTAAGTATTTTATGTTTTATTTCACCTTTTTTTATCAATTAGCTCTAAATTTTCTTTTTATTCTTAAACAAATTAATGTTATTCTTTTAAAATTAGTTTTCCATTTTCTGGTTTCAAAATTCTCCTTAAACATAGGGGCATAGAATGATCTTACGTGCCGGTTTGTGTGGGTGAAGAAGGTGTTTGGAGCTTTAGCAGGAAAGTGGTAACTGGTACTAATTTTGAGTCTCTATAATAACACCTTTCAATAACCACTTCAAGAGGAGAAGAAAGAAGATTTTGTTCAGATTGCCTCCGGTTCAGAAAACTGCTATTTATTGCTTTAGTTCAAATTTTCTTTTCAGCATAATTTACCACGATTTAAGATGAGAATTATTCACGTTACCAAAAAATTATTTTCTACATAACATCTCAATTTTGTCACAGTACAGGTCATTTGCAAATTCTCTACTCAAAATGCTCTTCCAAAATGTTTGTCTACATCTACATCTTTGAAAAAAAATAAATGACTTGTTAGAAATATTCAAATTGATGTTTTTGTAAATCCAAGTTGGCTAGAAATTTCAGGTGTAAATTAAGACACCACTACAATATGCGCAAAGCTATAAACACATACGCAAAACTCCATTAAACCAACTCAACAAATAAGGGTCATAACGTTGCCCCCATTAACATTTCAACTTGGAAATTAACCAACGTTTCTAGGTTCGACCGTGATTTGTTGGCAATCAGAAGTTCTAATAGCTAAACGGTCTCACCGCAAGGTTAGCCAATAATTAAGGGACTTAACTTGGTGCATAAATGCTTCGGGGGAGCGAATTCGCGTTATTAAACACCATAAAGGTGGCAACGATATCGATCTGAGGTACGCGAAGAATCCTTATTTGCCAGCAGATAATTTACTTGGCACCAGATTCGAATAAAATTATTCGAATGCAAATGTTTTGGGGTCGAATTTTCAAACGCCCTTCCGGTAGATAAATTTTAATGAAAACCTCATATAAAATCCAGCGGGGATGACACTGACGTATGAATCCTCATTTGCTACTTTTGACCCTTTTTTGTATGCTCGCATTAACTGACATACGTTGTTTTACAGAGAATTAAAAATGATATGGTTTTCAATGACATTCAAAAGCAAGCTTTACCCTTAGATTAAATTACCTACTATAACTTTTTCATCAATACATCATTATCTGATAATAACAAATTTATTGAAATTAATTCCCTGATAATAACACCTAAAACTTACGTTTATCGCTAATAATTTATTTGTTATTGTTTGAGTTACGTTGGGTGGGCTTAACAAATTATTTTAATAAAATAGGTCGTTAGGAAATGGTGTTTAGCAGATAAGTATTTTTATATAAAACAATCTGGACATTACTACCAATTCCTGTAAGTTTTGTACAAATTCTAGAATCTAATCCAAAAATAAAACACTTTTTCCGAAGTTGGGATAGCGTGAGCTCCCCTTATATTTTCCCAGCAAGTTAGCGGAATAAGTATTGGAGATTTGCACTGAAGATAAGGTCTTACGGCTCGGCATGTCTGGTCGAGATTTCGGATTTAATGATGCGATTACGTGTAACCTTACCTTAATAATTTTAATCGGGAATTAGGTAATCGGCCATTTGATTTAATGCTAACTAATTTCTGGTATACAGGAATTAGAGAATTGACTAAAATATTATATATATTAGAGAGAAGTTGTGGGTAAAGGACGAAGTGGAATAAAACTTCCTTTTTCACAAATTCGCCGATGTTTTCACCAAAAAAATATATAAAATTTTTATCTCTTTATATCTATGCGCAATAGAAGTTTTCAAGTCAGAAAACTTCTGTTATAGGTACATAAGGCGGTAGGATTTTTATATTTTCTGTAATATTTTTTTTCTACAAACGTGTTAAAAATGGAATTTTTAACACCGCCCCGAAGCATTAAAAATGTTACTTTATCGCACTAGTGCCATAAAGTCTTTATAGCACTAGTGTTAAAAGTGAAACATCAAATTTTGAGAGCGGACGTCAAAAAAAGTTTGTATTTTCAGTTATTTACATTGATATTAATGGTGAAATTTGAACAACTGAGGTAGCCCGATTGGCCGCCTCATCTATATTTTTCGAAGGATCGAAGCAACCCTCTTTTTCTTCTGTATCTTGTTGCATTTTTAGCAAAAAGCATTCCTGACCACGAAAGACTTTCAAGAAACTGACAAGACATTTCGTTACCTGTAAAACAAGGTGCTGGTTGTATGGATTTTTTGACAAATGTCAAATTCAAGAATTTTATGTAGGAAAGATGCTTCCAATTTATTATTCATTTAAAAATCCAATTTGTTAGTGGTTATTGCTTTTTATTGCCGTTTGTAGAAAAAAATATTGTATGATATTTGTGTTAAAAGTATTTTTAAGGCACCTATTCACATGCGTGCCTTAAAAATGTACTTTTAACACTTATATCATAAATAACTATTATAGGTATAGGTAGCTTCTTTACTTTTGATGCCTGGCTATTAATCTGAAAAATTGTATTCCTATAGATTTATTCTAATGTCCTTATTGTGACATGACACAAATGAATCTATAAAAACTGGGATCATCAATACCTACACGACACTTAAAACTCGATGACCATTCCAGCAAGCCCCTACTCGACCTGGATTGTTTTTTGAAAACAAAAAGTTGGGGTGCCTATATCAAGGGTCGAAGGAATTTATATCACCTTCCGCAAAACAACGAGTAAATAATTAATTATTTCACGTGTTACCAGTTTATTTGGAAAAATATATGAGTAAAATGCAATGTAAAATTTGGATCCACACTGCAAATTCAAATACTGAATGTTCATTTGAAAAGTATCTACCACCCTGAAAATCTATTTAATGGGATTTAATTCTGAAAATTTCCAGGGCCATTTAAAATAGAATAGAATATAATTATGGTAATGCCTAAAGGGGTTGCACATGAAACAAACATAGGTGAGCGGCAACATGGTTGGAGATGAAAAAGTCAAGAAGTGTGATGACCTTGATGAGTCAATGAAGATAGAAAGAAAAAAAAAAACTACGAAATGCTTGGAGGAGAGAGATAAGGCCGTCTGGTGAAGTGGTGTCTTACACGTAGGTAAATTGCAGCCTTACACCTTGAACTTATTTTATCAAAATGTTTGTGGTCTACAAACTAAAGCACATGACTTTTATACTAATGTTCTCAGTGAGGTGAGGATTTTAATAAATACCATTGTGCTGACTGAAGAACTATTTGACGACCGCTACGAAGTATTTCGTAGGGATAGAGTCAGCCATTAAGCCTTGGGAGGTGGAGTGATGGTAGCAGTGATGGTAGCAGTGATGGTAGCAGCACAAAATAATCTGATTTTAGAGAAAGTCAAATTGGACCTGTGATATAAATATAAAGGGCTTGTTGTTTAGGGTAAGATTTTTAAAAAAATTGTTTTATATCTCATGTCGTGTCTATACAGGGTGTTCCACATCCACATTCCAACATCAAAACAGAGGCATTTTGGTGTATTTTAAGGTCCATTTTAAAAAAAGCGGCCAGACATGTCAACTAACCCTATCGGTATTTCGCTCGGGTATACCCCCTGGGTGGGGTGACTTTCACTTCTCTTTTTTAGATAGGGAAGATAGGTCGAGTGGTACCTTGTTTTAGAGGTATTTTGATTATAGTCACAACTGCGTATTTCGAAAATCAAATAATTAGTTCTCGAGATGTTCACTGTCAAAGTTGCCATGGGCTAAATGAGAATAGTAGGTATATTAAAAAAAAGTTGCAGAAGACCACAAGGAGCGAGTGGACGAACGAATGAGTGTGGGAATAGCGTACTACAACGTGAATTTTATACTATTTTCTCAATTTTGGATTTTAATTATAATTTTTTGTAGTCGCTGTTAGTTGGGAATTTTTCTCATTCTCATTGCCAAATATGTCAGTTGGTGACACTTATTTACCAACCAACTGACAGGTGAATTTTATTATTTTGGAAGGTTTGACAATTTTGAAGGTAGGTATACCAATATGTAGGTACAGTCGTGAGCATAAAAAGTGGGATACCCGTTTTTTGCTATTGTGAAACGAGCTCATCAGCTATACCTAAAGTTTGTTTTTTTTTTTAAAGAGAATTCCCCAAGTCAAAAATTTAGTAACTATGTTGGCAACACAAGCCTTTTCTTCATAAAAAATTTGAAAGCATTGACAATTTTACATTGTATTGCCAACATAATGTCATTTTGACTTTTACCTTTAAAAAAAATACAGACTTTACGGTAATGACACTGATTGTCATATTTGATAAAAAATCCACTCTGAAGAAAAGACTGATTTACCCAAAATAGCGAAAAATGACAAGACCTCTCAGTCGGGTGTCCCACTTTTTATGCTCATGACTGTACCTACTTTGAAAACTAAATGTCACTAAAAATCGTTGAAGAATGAGCTTCAATCTTCAACGGGGCGTAGGATTTTTTTTTTTTTTATAGGAAGTTGTCATGCTATTTTTTTGTGTTCTATCTGAATTTGAGAGATTGCCCACATATTCTGGGACACCCTGTATATGAGCAACTTCTAGAGAACTTTAACCAAGTGTTGTTATTAAATGATAATTTTATTATTTTGGGTGATTTTAATGTTCCTCGATTTATCGACTCTGACTGCGATAAGAGTAAGTTACTCGATCAGTTCCCTAATTTAAATAACTTGAGTAAGTTTAACACAATTCCAAATTTCAAGGGTAAACTACTAGATCTAGCTTTTTTTAATATATCTTTGCTAGGCTTGAGTAAATCTGCGTCTCCTTTGGATCTGGTGGATAATATTATCATGCAGCGCCATCATGTCACTCGATCAATAAAGTCAAAATAGAAATTAAAATAAAAATATTCATCAATCTTATTGCTATGAATATGCCAGGGGCGATTTTAATCTTCTGTACCTACCACCTGATAAAGAGACGCTGACTGGCAACTATGCATGATTGTTTTGTATTGAATTGGCTTCTACTAGGTGGAAATTCATAATCTATTAATGTATGATTGTGATGATGTAAATGATATTTTAAGTGTGGTTCATAATAAACTGTATGGATGTATGTATTGAACAAGCCATACTAAAAAAACGTAACAATAGAAAACGGAGATATCCTATTTATTTTAGGGTAGGGTTAGTAACGGAAGTTAGACAGAAGAACAGGTAACATAGGTTTAAGACTGGAAGGGCTATGTTGCAAATGAAAGGGAATTTGAAAAACTCAAAACTTCTATTACAATGCAATTTAGAAAGATTTTTTAAATTATCAAGCTCATGTTGAACCCAGTACTTTACGGGACCCCAATAGCTCTTGGACATTTATTGATAGCAGAAGGCAGATCTTTCAAACTGAAATTGTTACTCTTGTCAGAGTAGGTATTACCAACGCTTTCTCGCAGTTCCTTAGCTCAGTTTACCAGACCTCTTGCGTATATCATGGTAAGTCTCGTTCACAGAAATCTTTCAACTTTTCTACCATAAGTGAGCGAGATATAAAATGAAGTATCAGCAAACTAAAGCCTAACAAGGCCAGGGGGGAAAACCTACCTGCCTCTATTTTCAAAGATTGCTTTAAATGTTCTTGAAGCCACTGTCATTTCTTTTTAATCTCCTACTAAAAACCAACACATTTCCGGATATTCAGTTTATCCGTATTTAACACTGGTGATACTGGCACTATACAGAATTATCGACCTATTAATTTCCTGAACACTTTGGCTCTTTGAAACTGTCTTGTACATAGTGACATAATGAAAAACTTTGCGAACACATTTCCTCCAGAACAACCGAGAGAACAACATTGTTTTCTGCCAGGATGATTTTCGAAACCGGGGAATAGCGTTCTCATGAGAACATGTGCTCTGTCTTTTTCAGTGTTATGGAAATAGTTGCCCATATTTATATTTCCATAAATATGGGCGACTAAGACAGAACCTTCGTTCTCATGAGAAAGCTGCTACCCTGTTTCCAGAATAAGGTCCCAGGTGTGTCTTCTGCTAGTAATTTGTGCGTTTTGTCTAGTTTTGGTACAATTGGACCTTATAATGACAGACCGCGCAAAAGCATTCAACATGGCGTACCATGGTGTCTGTCTCGTTATTAGGTGAGTTTGGCTTTTCAGGTGAGGCTTGTAATTCTATCAAGTTATGCCTTCAATCAAGGTCTCAACTGGTCAATATTGGTAAATGCCTCTCAAGTTGGTTTTAAGCTACTTCTAGCGTCCTTCAAAGAAGTAATTTGAGGCCCCTTCTTTTTCCTAGGGCCCGGATCCCGAACCCACGATTCGATAGTATCGTCTATGTAATTTATATGGACGATACTATCGAATTGTGGGCTTGGAATCCGGGTTACAAACCCGGATCCCGTGCTGCTAGCCCTCCTATGCTATACCTACATGCAGGGCCAGTGCAACATCTTAATCAAGAACTACGTTATAGATTTTTTTTAACTGTGGTGTCAAGCACATAAAGAAATGCTTCACGCGAAATTAATAGGCTCATACAGCATATTTTTTTTTATTACATATTTTCAAAGAGCGTATTGAGTTTAGCAGTTGTGCCAAATTTCATAATTTTCTGAGCCCTTCTTCATATTTAAATAAATTATCAAAACGCTCCACATTTGAAACACGCGGAGACGGCACTGCATCTCTAACTTTGGTCGTGGTGGTGCTGGTACGCCATTCACCACGACATTGGGCAAATTTGGACAAGTTTAGTTTGGCCAGTTGACATTGCGTTATGCAAAACCGTGTGACGGCCTTTAGCCTGTCTCGACGTCATACCATCTCTCAGCGATGAATTTCTGAGGCCTAATGTTTTAATATTCAAAGACGTATAACTTTTTAAATATTTATCCAATTGAGCTGGAATTTTGTGTGTGTTCTATATGTGAGTAATACTCTATAAAAATATTAAAAAACGTGGTTAATGAAACTTCACTGAACGAGCCTATTGAAGTTGAAATCTGATAAAGGCTTCTCTTCTAAGGCAATATAAATAAAAGTCTGATACTGCTTGTTAGCTCAGATAAGTATTAATGTATGTAGATGGTTTCGCTTGGTGTAGGATTTTTAGGCTAGTAAAAAGCACTCTACTTGCATGTTGGTAATGCCCCGGCGGTGTTTGTAAGAGGTATATTTTAAATAAATAATAGTATATTCTTCAACGAGCATATAATGATGGCTATTATTCACGAGAACAAAAATTCAAACACGAGCCGAAGGCGAGTCTTGGAATCATTCGAGTGAATAATAGCCATTATTTTCGAGTGGAAGACTATTTATACTTTCTCTTCGAACATTTTGGTTTATTCTATTAGTTCTATTGTTTCTTATGACAAAAACCGAAATAATTTTTTTTATTGGAAACTGTTAGAGATAAACCTATCGAACTTTATATCGTTGAAATCAGAAAAAGCAGAGCTTTCTAATGAGCTATTAATATATAGGGTGTCCTATTGAAAAAAACCAGAATTTGGTCAATATCTCGGAATTGGGACAAACTAGAAAAAACCTGAGAACGTCACTAAATTCTGCTTGAAAAAGTGCTTCCAGAAAGTTTTTACGGAAATCAATAATTTTCATAAACAAAAAAGTTATGATAGTTTCACATTATTGCTCAAAATCGAGAATCGCCCTCTAGCGGCTAAACGGTTGAATATATCGAAATTCGGTTTGCACCAATCAAAATTTCGTGAAATTTGAGCCTCAGAGTGGGGGGTTCATTTTTTTGTACCTCGCTCAGAAATTGATGTTTCCTATTAAAAGTGCCCAAATTGGCCCACCCTGTACAGCTGTTCTTGGAACACCCTGTATAAAAAAATTGGAGTGAAAAATCGACGTGTGAAAGTAAAAACATGCCTAGTTATAGATATAATTGTGATATATGGGTGCAAAAACGCTATCGGAAGCTGGACTTCAGTATCAAAAATTAAATCTCCGAAAGCTGAAACATCTAAACAGAAAGACTATGACAAAACAAATAATGAAAGGGATTTGGTCAAAAATATAGGTACATAAAAAGTATGTAGTAGCTATGTGTGGTGTAATGCTGTTCCAATTTTCATTTATTATAGTTGTCTACTTTTAACATATTATTCAACTGTGACATTTTTCACATTTTTGTTAAATTCTACCTGTGGGGACTGGAATTTGTACGTGCTTCAGCCAGACTATGGTTACAAATGTTTATTAAGCAGCAGGAATTATTTTGAAGAAATGTAAAAAAAGTGTTATTAATATTTATAAGTAGAAGTAGAAATT